AAGACCTGAGACTGGGACGGAGATTTGTCTTCCAACAAGACAATGATCCAAAACATAAAGCAAAATCTACAATGGAATGGTTCACAAATAAACATATCCAGGTGTTAGAATGGCCAAGTCAAAGTCCAGACCTGAATCCAATTGAGAATCTGTGGAAAGAACTGAAAACTGCTGTTCACAAACGCTCTCCATCCAATCTCACTGAGCTCGAGCTGTTTTGCAAGGAGGAATGGGCAAAAATTTCCGTCTCTCGATGTGCAAAACTGATAGAGACATACCCCAAGCGACTTACAGCTGTAATCGCAGCAAAAGGTGGCGCTACAAAGTATTAACTTAAGGGGGCTGAATAATTTTGCATGCCCAATTTTTCAGTTTTTTTATTTGTTAAAAAAGTTTGACATATCCAATAAATTTCGTTCCACTTCATGATTGTGTCCCACTTGTTGTTGATTCTTCACAAAAAATTACAGTTTTATATCTTTATGTTTGAAGCCTGAAATGTGGCAAAAGGTCGCAAAGTTCAAGGGGGCCGAATACTTTCGCAAGGCACTGTACTTACTGTTAAATCTGGTGGTTAGGTACAATGGGACTTTTTTTTTAAATTTCTGCTCAACATGTTGATATAATATAACTTAGCAATGGTTCCATACTATTGCACCCCAAAAACCCAAATAATTATTGATCTCCTCTTGGCAAAACATTTTAAAATGAAAACTGGCAGTAACACTCCAACACTGCGATCAAGAATTCTTTGCATATATAATTTCTGGTTGGTACAAAGTACATTAAACTGACGTCTTGTATATTATCAGTGAAATTATAAGATGCAGTATACTGTACTTTAATGAACTCTAATTCACCAGTTTTGAAGGAAAACCCTGATATGCTACAGAAATTAACCTTATGAGCTCTGCCTGTATTCCTCCTCCTCTTCTTTGCCTTCCTCTCCCTTTTTCTCTTGCTTTATCACTGTCATTCCAAATCCTTCCATCACAAAATATATTGACACTGAAAATGCAATAAGATCACTGGGAAACTACAAAACATTAAAGAGAAATTGTACCTCTTTTGCAGGAAAATGCTGTACATGTGAAACAGTAAAAACCAAATTTTAATCTCATCTGTCCTAAATATAGACGGTTTATAAAATATTTACTTTAAATTACGAATGTGCAGGAGTTTGTGTTTGGGAGTAATCCATGCAGTTATGTACTCTTAGCATGGGTTGAGATCAAGGTAAAGTTGCTGGTTTAATTGAGCCTATACAGGACCCAGAGCTGAGAGAGCAGGCAGAGGAGCATCGATAAACTATGAAATGGTTCCAATATGGCCAATCGATGAAGCTTTGTGAGCAGCTCCATTGGGACTTTGATTTTCCTCTCAAACAACAATCTGGAGTCTCCACTTTTCAAAGGCAAACTCCATCTTTGCTGTTGTTGTTGCTTCTTCCCCTATGTTTGAGTTGTTTGAGTAATGTCACTGAGGTCGATTTTATCCATGTCCATAAAGGCTCTCCCACACTTGAATCTCCCAGGAGACGGGTCCTGTTGGTCTGTGCAATGGTAACAACAACCAATAAAGGTCAATCTCCCATGGTAATGGCCAATTGGGTTTGTTCCCATTATTGGGCCTCTGAGCCATGGTCAACAGATGGAGAGCTGGCATCACTGACATAAGTTACACTCCAACCTTTGGGAGGCCCAGCTCTGTCTCCAAGCACTGCTGTGTGACTCTGCTCTCTCCTCTTCTACTTGTGCTGGCCTGCACATCACTCCATCATGTGTAGCTCCTGTACAAGGAGATGCGTTGCAGTTGCGTCACAGGGCCGCTGCTGGTGAGAGTTAACTGTCTAACCATTTCAGCTAATTGCCTCATTAATGATTCACTGGTGTTAGGCTGCTCTAGCACTTCGCTGTGGGGAGCAAATTGTTCTGATTGGTTTGCCTCTGTCAATTATTGATGAGGCAGTGAGCTGAAGTGCTAACACCTGGCTTTGGAGGTCCAAATGGCCTTGCATTCCCATCACATACTCTGTTATCACACATCCTGGGACCACATTCAGTCTTGAACGGCTGGAATCTTGACTGTTACTGTTCTCCAAGAGTGGATGTAGCATGCCCTGGGGCAATGGCTGTGATCTCACTTGTGAGGATATTAGCTCATAGAACATGGCTTACTGCTGCACAAAAAGGTGGACAAAACAGACTACAATCTCAGCTTGTAGTGAGGTGTGCTGAAAGTAGGATGGCAAAACACAGAAGTAACACAGAGAGGGGCCACTGACATGGCTGGATTGTGTGCATATGTGTGATGATACCACAAATTACAACATTATCGTAACTAGCGATTTATATTGCCTTGGGAACAGAATGAATACAGTAACAGTCTTGACAGTATATTTAATAAATACTTTTTCCAAAAGTTGTCTCTAGCTATCAGTGTCTTATGCAATACTAAAATTCAGTACTTTTGAAGTTACCAGAACATATTTTCTCCAATACTCCAAAAAAAAAAAAAAATGAAATTATGACTTATCAGCCCTCATCATCAGGTCAGGCTGTCATGTGGCTTAAATTATGTAGTCTGAACTAGGCATTCAGTGAGCATTCAGGTAAAATGCAACTTCCTACTATGTCAGTCATGTGGATGAAGGGTTGCAGGGGGGAGTGTTGTGAGTGTGAAAGATACAGCCATGTTGTGATAAGTTGATGTGAGTGGCTTCATTCATGTTTCCAGCCCATGAGTTTCCAGTGTGTTTTGGTTAGCAGTGTTGCTACCATAGCCTAAGCTATACGAGCACCAATTGTTACCACCGGTGTTTTGGTATTGATAAATAAAAAATGTTCAGTGCCCTAACTAACAAAAACACATGGCATGACATCATGGTGCATTAACTGTGGCCCAAGATCGAGAGTGTAGCAGTGAATACTCATGCCAACAAGGTAAACAAAAGAGTCTTATTCGCATGGGCATCCACATTCTGACAGTCCCCCATTCGTATTGGTCAATGCAGTGCCTTTGCTGGATGATGTCAGCGTCCAGTGTGGGGGGGAGTGTTGTGAGTGTGAAAGATACAGCCATGTTGTGATAAGTTGATGTGAGTGGCTTCATTCATGTTTCCAGCCCATGAGTTTCCAGTGTGTTTTGGTTAGCAGTGTTGCTACCATAGCCTAAGCTATACGAGCACCAATTGTTACCACCGGTGTTTTGGTATTGATAAATAAAAAATGTTCAGTGCCCTAACTAACAAAAACACATGGCATGACATCATGGTGCATTAACTGTGGCCCAAGATCGAGAGTGTAGCAGTGAATACTCATGCCAACAAGGTAAACAAAAGAGTCTTATTCGCATGGGCATCCACATTCTGACAGTCCCCCATTCGTATTGGTCAATGCAGTGCCTTTGCTGGATGATGTCAGCGTCCAGTGTGGCAAAAGTTGAACTAGATCCAACTTTTTCACTGCACGGGGCTATGGCATTTTGCCGGAGCCCCCTGCGGTGCTAGTGCTGGCTGCAATGAACGCAATCCCCCATAGAAATTAATAGAGAGGGTTGTATTTTTTCACACCTTTGAAACTCAGCAAAACTTTGTGAGCAAGACGAGGTCAATTAACAGCTACCTGAAAGCTAAATGGTTAAAATGATCAGAAAGTGGTAGCAGCACAAATGGAAAAAAAGAACTGACAAAAGCTTGGCAACCACTGTAACCGGTAAGGATATGACTAAAACATCTATGCCAACAAGGTAAACAAAAGAGTCTTATTCGCATGGGCATCCACATTCTGACAGTCCCCCATTCGTATTGGTCAATGCAGTGCCTTTGCTGGATGATGTCAGCGTCCAGTGTGGCAAAAGTTGAACTAGATCCAACTTTTTCACTGCACGGGGCTATGGCATTTTGCCGGAGCCCCCTGCGGTGCTAGTGCTGGCTGCAGTGAACGCAATCCCCCATAGAAATTAATAGAGAGGGTTGTATTTTTTCACACCTTTGAAACTCAGCAAAACTTTGTGAGCAAGACGAGGTCAATTAACAGCTACCTGAAAGCTAAATGGTTAAAATGATCAGAAAGTGGTAGCAGCACAAATGGAAAAAAAGAACTGACAAAAGCTTGGCAACCACTGTAACCGGTAAGGATATGACTAAAACATCTATAGACAAATTTGGCTGTGTAAGACCAAAATAATACTTCGTCATTGTACAAGTGTGAGTGGAGCTGTAATGGCATTCAGTGCAATGTAAATACAGGCTTTGTTTATGGTGATTTATAATGAGTGACAGCTAGGCACCTTTACTGTAGGATCATGCAACTAGATCCCAAGTAGATAGTAGCTGGATTCCACTGGAGTCTCTGTGTCTAATGGCCCACCCACAAAGCAGCCCTTCTGGCTACATGAATCACTTTCTCAGTGCACAAACTGTTAAGGGGTCTCTCCAAACCTTGTGTATTACAAGACACAAAAACAGAAGAAAGAGCAGTATTTTTGTGTTTTAACAGAATAAAACATGAACAGATTGATTAATGTAAAGGGATGGAGACATGGACTAGAGCCACCCACACTGTTTGTGACTTTACTCATCTCTCCTTGGCCTTAATTGAAACTGATTAAAGAGTCACCCCCTATGCCGACGCCGCTGTCACTCCGAATCTCAGCCAAGTGGGCTTGCTATGTACACTCGCAGGGTGGTCACTCTGCCTTTGTTTCTCCGCTGGCACCAGTAATAGCAAAGCCTATCCCACCCCCAAAATCCTGTGACTGACTCACTGTCACAGTAAATCTTGGATTGGGGGGCAGAGTTTAGACAATGAGTCCTGTATAGCCCACACTGTGGACTTCACTCACTGTCTGTGCACATTATGTGTATGTGTGTGTGCATGCATGGAAACACAACACTGAAAGTGGGCTGAGTCACACTTTGATGACTTTTTTCCCTTTATCTCTTTTCTTGTTCAACCCCTCCCCTTTTTTTCTCTCCTCCTTTCTCTTCCTGCTAACAGATAATGACTGAGCAGTGATGACACCAGACCGGCTGACCAATCACACGGAGACTCATACAAAGCACAACATTCAAAAATGACTTCACTGAAGAACAAAAGACAAGATCTGCTGAAATCCCTCAAAATCCCTGCAGTGGAATTCTTGAAAGCCTCTTACTACTCCTGTTTCCCTCCCTGATATTTTACTTCCAGCTTTTTTCTACAAAACACAGAAAAAAAGAAAGACATACTCCTGAGGTGGTTGACAATACTAGATAAATATATTAGCAGGACTATTTTCTCTTTGGTGGGAAGCTCATTCTTGCATGCTTCTGTAAATAGATCACAACAAAACCCTATTCTTATTCGTAATATAGGAAGCATACCAAGTTGTTCTCACCAACCATCACATAAACCCTCATGACTGTGTATAGAGTACTCATGGTTCGATATTTTCCATATAAAGCCAATATTCTTCTTATCTCTTCAGAGACCATGTGATTACCATTTCCAATATCATTTCTCTACTCTTTAGACTGTAAAAACTGTACTTCATATTCTTCTTATTCACTTTACATAACAGCCTAGTCGTCCTCTCCAATATCCACTCTAGTACATGTAAATAGAGTTGAATGAAGCCAACAGCATGGAACAGACTATAGTGTACAGTATATCTACCATTGCCTAGTAGATCACAAATCTCACTATGACGATATTTCAGACAAACCTTTTTAAAAGTTTAAAATACTTGAACTTGTTTTCTGATAGTTAAAATAATAGTTCAAGGTATTTGGGCATTTATGCATTTGTATAAATGCATAAAGGCGATAGCTATAGGTAACATTTGGCTACCTTACGGTAGTAAGGATTAGAACACAGCAATTCCTTTGGTACCACCAATCAGTCCCACCATGAAACAAATGTTCTAAGTCAAGGGGAAAAGCAGGTAATTCAGCCAAGCCATGAGTCTGCCTTGGCACTTCTACATTTTTTTTAACATTTTATATTTTAAGTTATTATTTACGATTTTTTTCCCAGTATCTACATTATTATTCTTTTCCAATGCAATAATTGCCCTCTTCCTTCTCATGATGTATGAGTTATAACTGCTGCAGCAAAGTTGCTGTAAGTCTGAGGGGGCCATTTTTATATATTTATTTATTTTTGCATGGTTTATAACCAGTGCTCTGATCCTGAACCTACACGTGGGGAAAAAGAACACCTCACTGATTGCACTGTAGACATGTGGACTCTGACCTCCATCTTCCATGAACTATGAAGATAACTAGATAGACTGACAGAAAATATGCCAAGCCAATGAACAGACAACCTCAAAGGCTACCCCGTCCTCTCCAGTGGTGAAGACAGAAAACCGTTGCATGGACAACAGGGAAAACACTAGCTTGTCGAACACCTTATGTCCACCATCATGCATCGTCTACCTCTAAGTGTGCATTGTGCATTGAGGAAGTCATGACTTTTCAATGACCCTCTACTGTCCTCACAGTCCGCTTCTCCGCTGATGTCTCTAGAGCCTCATGAGGAGAGTCTTACTCCATGATGAGTGCTACAGATGGACACGCATGGCAATGGGGAAGACAAAACAAACACTTGTTCACTTTCACACAAACATACTCACTCATATGAGTGCATGCATACAGATGCACAATCATACAGTGCCACTCAAATATGTTGTTGTATATATGTACAGTATATCCACTATGTATAGTCCCAGATGCTGTACTTTGCATGTTGACTCGTACAGTAGATGACAATTAACCATAACAAAGGGTGTGCAGGTAGGCCAAGTCAGTGGGATTTACTCTCCAAACCAGTGCAAGCTCTTTGTCAGCTTTACATCTTCTTAAATTGATTTGAGAAAATGTAAAGTAACATCACAGAAATAGTTTTACCACTCCTGATCCTATTGTGAAAGGTCCTCTTCAGCTAAAGAGACACATAACCTCACCTCTAATGTCAGGACCTGGCCACAGTGAGCGTGGGTAGCAGAGGAGGCAAGGGAAGGTAAACTGGGGTGCTCCAATAAAGTGGAAACACACAAAGTGGCATGGGGCATCCTGCCAGCAACTGTCCATTCATCCTATGTCAAAAGGATTTACACATCTCACTGAGTCTATGAGCTGCCAGAGAAGTCTGAGACCAAAGCAGAGGAGAGCAGAGAAAGCAAGTGGGGCTCAGGAGAAAGGTTGAAAAGATTTTGAACCAAAATCTGAGTTTATGTTCTCCAGGTCTGTCCGCCAGCAGAATATTCTTTTCTGATTGGCATCCACCCTGGAGAATTCAATAACTCCCTTTACCTCAGACTGTTGCACCATCATGCAGCTCTCTGGGCTATCATGACCTCATGTCCTGTCTGAGGTTAACTCTGTGTTAATTAGCGAGGCCCTCAGTTCAGCCAGATGTTCAGCCTTGTGGTTAAATACCTGTTACCCTTCGAGCCCAGCAAGTCTTTAATGCCTGCCCAGTTAGTCTCTCTGGAGACAGCGACACTATCAACTTCACTAAGTGAGAGATTTCTTTCTTTATAGTTTATTTAATCAGGTTAAATCCTCACTGAGATTAAAATCTCTTTTTCAAAAGTGACCTGGTGATGCTGAGTACTGAAATTTTAAATACATTTAACTGTTGTTTCCTTTTTTAAATCAAAATAATCAAAGTTGGATTAAAAAAAAATTAGCACACAATATATCAAGGGACATTTACAGGGCACAAGGGGTTACCTACTTTGTATGCTCCCTTTTTCATCCAGTTTATATTAAGCAATCTTCTTAACTCAAATACTGTCAGCGCACATTGAGTCACATAAGCATATTTACAGTCAACATGTAAACAAACTCAAAATTAAGACTTAAGACTTAGCAGTGATTAGTCAGAGAACATTTAAAATACAGGAGGGATGAAGATGTCACTCTGACATGAGACACTATATGTGGTAAGAAAAGGCCTTAAGCAGGTGCTGATTTTCTCTGAGCCTCAAGGCTTTCCATTTTCTTAGAGGTACAGCTGCAGGCAACCTGTGACAGGCTGATTTGTTTTTCCCATGCTTTTGCATGTTAGTACAGTGTTATTCTGCCCTTTTATCTGACAATGACCCTGACCAGGATCAGGACATGTACGTAAACACAGCATACAGTAGATATATGAGCTCATGTGCAGAATCTGTGAAAGTACACACAGACACATACTGCTCCTTTTCTCACATGCACCAACACACCATGCTAATCTAAACAGCAAGGCTGTATGTAAACAGATCGTCGACATAATGGGATTGTTCAGTGTGCAAACAATATGCTGTTAGCGTAATCACAGGTCAAAGATATATTACCCCGAGGGCCACGCTGTAGGTATATTAATATGATGGATATGTGTGATAGAGGAGGGGGTCAGGGATACCAAGGATATAGAGCTCTGCTCATTCTGATTTACCCCCTGTTGGGCCCTGTTTACCGCCCATCTCTCATCTACCTCCCTTGGAAGGGGTCCCACTTATTCAGCATTCCTCTTCTTGCTTCTTCCCTCATTTACCAACATGTTTCTTGTAAATTAGACTTCTTCCTTTCTTTACCTCACTCTAGCACCTCCCTCCTGTCTTTTTCTATTGTCCTTTGCTCATTCACCTTGCTCTATATAGATATAATCCGTTTAAGCAAATTTCTGTGATCATTGTGATAGCAGGATGAAATGGCCCCACGATCCTGTTTATGGATTAAGCAAAGAAATGTTTGAGTGACATTAGATCAAGAAGGTGCCTTGCCCATGCCTGATACATCAACAACAGGAAAAGAGCAAGGAATAAACAAAAAGACAGCAATTTGTAGTATTAATGTAGGGATATGAACAATGTGATAAACAGAACACATAAAGCTGATATAAATGAATCGCCATCTCCACTAAACCATGTTTAAAGTACAGTGATCTTGTTTCTCAATGAGAAGCAGCATCCAAGTGCTGTGTCAGTCAGGATAAATCCTGTGTGTAGCCCACTCCACTGCACATAGCTTATTAACTTATCTCTGCTTTATTTGATTTTCTGAACTGGTTAATAAGTCAGTGTTCTCCTGTCCAAACACTCCATTAGTGTCATCACTGGCTAGCTTGTGTGTGTACTGCATACGTTTGTGGACCACTGAAGCAGATGCACATTGGGGCCAAGTGACAGAGTAAACACAGAGGTAGAACTGGGGAGAAACACAACCTGTAAGACAGGCAATAGGCGCAGAGGTAACATTAACAGTCAGGTTTCTGTGCAAATGGATCTTTGGCTGAAAATGTGGTTTAAGACTTTTAGATGGACAACCAATATATATGTTAAAAGTACAGTCTTTTGCTAAAATATTTAAGCAGCAAGCAGTTATTACATTTCAATCAGGATAATAATTTTGACTCCACATGTTATGTAACTGACAAGTTAAAATACTAGTGAGAACTATGTAACACTTCTGAAAACCAAAATAGATTCACTTCTCTTTGTGCAGTACAGTTGTAAAGTAGGAAGAACTTTCAGTTGCCACTGGTTCAGGAAGTTACATTGTGACAGACATGACTCAGTTGTAGTCCCTCTATGGTCCAAACGGACAAGAAACTCCCAATCAAATCATCAGTGCAAAAGAGTAACAACAGTGACAGAAAATACCATCTTTTCTGATGAAATAGCTTCAGAGGTAAAGTTGATAATGGCTCTCTAGGTGAATTCTGGCCAGAAACATCCAATCACCAAGCTTAAAATTCTGTTTTATACACGACTAAGAGGGGATGGAAGATAAGGTTGCAGTGTTGACAAAATTGGTAATACAATCTGCAGCTCAGACTAATTCACTGTTGGATTCTGAATCTATTTTGGATAAATTCAGCAAAATCGGCACTGTATTTTGCCCCCAGCTGCAATGATAAAGTATTTTGAATTTGCTAATTGTTGATTGTTGACTATGACTGGTTTCTTGTGAAGCTCATGATGTATTAAACCATGCCTAACTGACAGAACATTATTTCTCAGAATCAAAGTTGAAATAACTAACATTGGTGGCTATGTTATAAATCTATAGGACTATAATGTTAACCAGTATCCTCTGCATTTCTGTGTAATGTTGAGGATATTGTTGATAAAAGTTTGCAATGAGGTCAATAAGGCGGAAAATGCCAAGATCTCCTCCCATTTTGCAACACACATCCTTTTCCTCTCTATCACACACACAAACACACCCTTCTCCTTTGTGTGGGTGTCTAGTTGTACGTCCTGAATAACACCAACTTCAAGCCAGACGTGGTTGGGTCTATGGGAGTGGGGTCATAGGTCACAGGATTACAGTGAGGCAACTCATGTCAACTGCTATATTCTAATCCTAACCTCCAGGCTAACCCAAGCCTCTGAAGAAAAAAAGATTCAAATGTATGAGCTCAACATATTTTGTGTGCATCACCATGTTACTCAACGAATACTAAACTGCTTGGTATTGAAATAAAAAGGAACTAGAAACTAAAAATGCTCAAAATGTGGCATATGAGGCAGAATGACTTCTGAAGTAAAGATACTGTACTGTATATTGGGTGAGGAGTCTTCTAATAGCCAAACAGCACGCCACACAGCTAATGACAGATGAATAATAAAGCCTTTAAAACCCTTACTCCCACCTCATTCTGGCAGGGCATATAAGCTTGATCTCTGGGTGAGCAGTTAGCTAACAAGCCCCTCACTGAGATGAGACGAGTGGGCAGGTGGAGAGTATTGGCTTAGCCACAATGACTCAATTGAAATAATTGAGTCCAGTGTAATACTACTGAAAAATGCTGTAAACCAGATCCTTAGTATCTGATTAGGTAATGGAAGCCATCACGTTCTCTTAGCAACCATTAGTGGTGAAATAGCCCAAATGTTCATATAAGGACTAAATGTGAATGTTTCAAATCACATACAATCTGAGTTTGTTGTAAGTAGAGGGGACTTTTACAAATGCCCAAGTTGCCAGTATAGAAATAAATAAATGGGGAAATAATAAATCGCCAGCAGCTGTGGACAGGTGGCATTTCAGCCTGCACCGTTTAACTGTGCAGTCTGGTTTCTGACAGCTTGATTTAGTCTCCTGCACCTGAGCCAGAAACGAGAGAGAAAATTAACGACAGGAAAAACAGCTTAACTAGATTCCAATTTGCCTGCTTTGAAACACAATTGATGAAGCTAATGGACGTTTTGGTAACTGTACCAAGGTTGTTGTGATCATGCAAAGGCTGTACATACTCATTCTGGACCAGGTGCACAGGGCAGTCAGAAAGATAATAGTGCTGATATGATTTACCCTTGATCTGCCTTCTGAGCCTAGTTCTGTTTAAGGAGGGACAATAGGGGTTGTCCTTAAGGTACAAAATACAGATTAAAGTGACTCAAAGGGAGACGATAGGATACACGCTGTTCTCCCTGCTGTGACCAGGGTGTAATCCCTCAGTTTTAGAGAAGTAAAAAGTTTGAGGAGTAGAGAAAGTTACACATATTTCCCTTCTGGCCCCCCTACAGAGCAGAGTGTGTGAGGCAGCAGGGGATAACCATATGCTATCAAAGTGTTCTTCAAAGCTCCCATTCCCACTAAATTATACAGTACCATCACATATACCTGACAAAAACAGAAGAACCATAATTAGGCAGCTCACTGTACAAACTGAAACAAACAATATACTAACTAAACAAGTTTTAAGAAATATTTTACGCTTCTTCTGGATCATTTTGTTTAAATTGTGGCTGTGTCCCAATAATGTGGGTTAGCTTGTGATTTTGTACTTACATGCTTAAATATTGCTGCTGGTGGACAATTAAAAATGTATGATTTCTATCACAATACGCCCCTTTCCTGTTACCAGAGGTTAATTTGTGCTCACCCCTCATTTCAATTGTACTTTAGTAAATGTCCACATTATTTCCCACATGAGCCGGGACGAGGGGTTTGATTATTCAAAGGTAGGCCTTGGTCGGCTCTGTTATCGTCAGAGGGCTCGTAAGCTGCGATAACTGCTTCTAGGGTCTTATTGCTATGACGATCAGCCCCTTGCCACTTGGCCTCCCTGACCCCAGTCAAAGATAAGCTTTATAGGAAAGCACATTAACATGCACTGGCAGTCACCTCCCTCCTTTATCAAAGGCAGTTCTGTGAAATCAAGTGTTTATGGACCCCCAGTGAGGGTATAGTGCTGCTGATTGCCTATATTAGAGGCTGAGTGTAAATGAGCCAGAGGTGGACAAAGGACCTTTAGTAGTGAAGAGAAGTGAGGATGTGATACTGATGTTATTCTCACTAAATGAGCAATATCTTTAATGACTGCATCACCTTATGAGCCGGTTCCTAGCGCCTGGATTACAAATACTGTCTGCAGTCTAAATATATCCATGTCTTCCATTCATTCTACAAAAACTGACAGTACCCTGAGAGACCTTAAATGTGCTTATAGATATAATGTAACATTATATTTTGGAGTCATTTAATCTATTAGCACTACTGTATATTCTAAGTAACAGAATCTTCCTTCAATGTCTTCTCTTTTGTGTTACACCGATTCTATTAACTAAACTGTCAAATGGGTGTCTCTTTTATATCATTGCACATGTGTTACATTGATATGGGCATTTTTCTGTGGTTACGAGTGACAAGGCTGAAAAAAATACAGAGGTGTCAGTGGTGTGTACCTGCGTACTGCCCAATCACTGGTAAAAGATCCTTTCAGTTATGTCTGCAATGATGGATGATGATAGCCCTGTGTCTCTGTACACATCTGGGGCTCTACTGTTGTCACTGGACAGATAGAGGGAGTGAGAAGGAGAAAGATGTAGTTGCAGCTTAATGTCCTTCTCTAGTGCTGTGCATGCTCTTTCCTATTTGCTTTTCCCTTCACGGCACGGTTAACATTGTAAATTAACCTTTCCGAGCTCCCTGTGCTCAGAGACTGGTGCGCAATACAGACAAAAGGTGGGTGGGGGGGAATCAGTGTTATGCAATACACTAGCACTGGCCAGAGATGTAGCCTGTTACAGAATTGAGGTATTCCTTCTTCAGTGATGGGAATAAAACAACACACTTTGTTCATTCAAGCAAACATTCTATTTTATGTGCATGTCCCCTGTACTCTGCAAATCGGTATGAGGCTGCTTTTTGTTCTCCATCCTAGAAATGTAAATGAAACATGAAAGAAAATTGTATTGTAGATTCTTCTCTTTTTATTTCAAGCCTGTAAATAGGATGTAAATACCAAACAGCTATGCATGCTAATATACAAGCAATTTGTTCAGGTACTTTTGTAGCCCAGACTTCTCATATGGCATGCAATGAAAAAAAAAAAAAAAAAAGTAAAGATGAAAAAAATTCTAATAAATTGTGAACAAGGATATGGTTTGTAAACTACTTCAAAACTGGAAAATATATGTCTTTGCTGTTAATGTTTTCTTACTGATAACTAATGCATTGGCCTGCCATTTACTACAGTGCTCTGCTCATGTTACATTATCTTTTTTTATGTTTCATAAGGTAGGGCTGAGGCAAAAAAGACCATAAATTGCAGGTTTGTGGGAAAATCGGGTTGGGGAATAAGAAGATGAGGGGAAGGATGGCAGTCTAACCATACTCTTTGTAGTTTTTCCATTGCCACTGCACGTTCACATGCATACTTAATAATTAATTACATATCCTTAGTGTCTAACACAGCCAATAAAATGCCACGGCAAAATAGTTTAGCTTAAAAGCAGTAGAAACTGGGTTGCCATTTGAGTTATCTTACCAAAAAGATATATCACCAGCTTTAAAGTGTGCTGTTATTTTAAAATGGCATACATTTGTTTCTGATAAACCACAAAACCATTAAATAAACTACAAAGCTGGTACAACAAGCAATTTGAACTCATCCCAAATTGTCCAAATCATGAGGAGAGATTTTGAAAACTTTGACATTTTTTCTTATTTGTAAGATTATATCGAGTGAAAACGATGATCTGTATGCCAAATTTGCCTCTGCCCCAGCAACTCTAATATGACATTTTATGAAGATAGGGATAGAAGTAGCAAGAATCTTTATGGCTTCTAAGAGTGTTTATTTTCAACCATGTTAGAACCATGTTAAATCCCAAGGCGCTCATGGTAGATGGAAGTGTAATTTTTAACCTGTGCTAAAGATATTTTAAATTTAATAAATAATTATAAGAAGAAAACATGTTGTGTCATATTCTGTTCTATCTTCTGTGTATTTCTCATGATATATTTGACAGACTTGAAGAATAAAATGAATGAACAAACTCAAGAGAATGAAAGGGTTTGGTGCTTTAGCGGCATTTGTGTCCTGGTAAACTGCTCTCTTGTACTTAAGTGCTGGGTCTTTTCACTCATGATGAAATAAAAGAAACCGCAGTCTCAGACACAGTGACCTTTGACCTCTGGCTCCCAGCTCTGTCAGATGGAGGAGAAAGGTTTACTTTGCCGATCAGGCTGTCATCGGTTATTATATCTCGCTTTTACTGCTCAAACACCAAATATGACACCACACGATGGATTATCTGCCAGATACCAATAATGATTTTTGTGATATTAGTTGAAACATTTTGTAATTTACTAGTGAGACTGCAGTTTACCTGCAACTAAAGGCATGGCTATTAGTTGTGTTAAGGTTATCAGACTCAGTTCTCAAGTAAGCCACTCACACAAGACATGGCTGTTTGTGTTTGGTACATTTCATCAAAATGTTTACAAGAGGACACAATCAGTCGGTTAGGTCATTATGGTCCTGTAATCAATTAACAAAGACACATCAATTTGTGAGATGACTCCAACACATTTTTCTAAATGATTGAAGGGTACTTCTATTGTAGGCACCTCGCTGATCCCACATTGTAGACCAAATAATCTTGTATACCATGAGAATCTTTTTAAATTTTAGTGCTCAAAATTCATTAGGTTGTGGCCAGAAATTCCACATGCAAAGGTATTTTTTTGCTTCAGCTCACTTTCCCTTAAGTGATATATGGCAAAGAAAGAAAGAAGCATCCGCTCTTTCTCTGTTGCTCCACTCCACTCCTGTAGCGTAGATAAACAATGCGAGTGACAGTCTCTCATCACTCAAGAGGCTGAAATCTCTGGCCCTGACCCGATAACATCAAGTGTGTGTGTGTCACCTGTCAAGTGGCTTCTGTCACACTTCAGTGGGAGCTCAAAAACAAGACTGTGTGTACGTGTATGTGTATAGTCGACTGGGGGGTGGGGTTGTGGGTTTAAGAGTGCCTGTTGGCATGCAAGCGCAGGCCTCTCTAGGCATGACTGGGGTTGAGCGTGGTGATGGGGGATGGTGTTTGTGAAGGTCTGCCAGGAAACTAACAAAAAAGGAGGGGGAGGCGTAATGACCCAAATGAGAAGGACTTGTGCAGACACTATGAAACTATCTCATTCTGTAGGCTTCACTGGTCTCATTCGCATGTTCAGAGTGGGCAGGGTGATCTGGAATGCAATTATTTTCACCTATAAAAGGCAACATATGCCAAGATCATAAAAGTTCTTATTGGACAGTAATTTATTAAAGCAAGTCATAGAAAAGGAAAGAAGTAAGGCACACGCTATAATATGAGGTGTCGTTCTGCTTCTCATTAAGGGCCTGAGTGTCAGTGAAATTCAATACTCCAGCTGCCCGACAGAGGAGCGATGGATAAACTAAACAGAAGATGTTCTTTTTCATAAGATCCTGGGAAAATGGGAACATTTAGCGTGGCCACATCATCTTCAAGTTCCATTCTCAATTAATTTTCTGTGTTTGACTGTAAACCTGGATGTATTTAGGTGTATAATTAATTTCACTTGTTTTTCATATCACAGGCGCATATCAGGCATCCTTGCATTTTCTTTTCTTGGTCCATCATACGGCTTTTCAAATGTAGGTATCTACTGTAGAACTTGGAGAATAACAGTGATCTACGCCCTCGAAGAAACGCACAGCTGCTAATAAGCACAACTAGCATCCTCTTAAATGGATGAGTGTTTGTTCCCATATTGTGAATGTTTAAGTCATTTTTGAGCTGTGAATGACTAATAATAAACTACCACTGTGATCGTCACAATACTGAATGATATGGATTAGCTAATGGGGAGCAGATTGTACTGAGGAACTTATCAGCGTCTTCCTACTATCTAATACACAAAGTGCAGTAAGAAATGATTACGTCTGTGGCACATTTTACACAGAACAATGGAAGCATGTGTACCTCTTTTTGTTTGTTGCACAAAATGAATGAGGCAGATATATGCTATTGTCTGAGGTTATTGTAATGGTAAAATACAGTTTTTGTTAATGTAAATTATTGTAAATGCCTCATCTTTCAGACAAGACCGAGGTTTTTGTATCCTTTACCAAGATAAATACCATCACAAATGAGGCTGGGCAAAACAAAAGAAGAACAGAGAGAAACAGGCAAGTGTAGTAGAGGGAGGGGGGTTTGGTGTACGCCTACTGTGCAATATCTGGCAACGTACTTGCGTGTTTGTTGTCGACTTTAATCCTGACAACCGTGCATTCTGACAACAGTCACAAACAAAAACACACACAGAAAATGTCACAGGCCTACAAATAAGACAGTTCTACACATTACAAACATTAATACATGTACCGTATAAAGCCGCATGATGAATAATCGCATAGGAAAGCTGCCTCCATCCTCAAGGACCCCACCCACCCCCAGCACAGACTGGTCGCCTCCCTACCCTCTGGCCGGAGGTTCAGAAATGTGAAATGCAGGACCTCCAGACTGAAAAACTCTTTCCTTCCCTCTGCCATCAGACTCCTAAACAGCTGAGGAGTTTATTGCCAGGAACTACGTCATGTACTGTCGACCTGTACTGTTTACATTCTCAGTTTGCACATGCATAATTGCACATTGACTGTTGACTGCTGCACATGCTGCTCCCATGCAGCATACATTCTCTTATTATATTCTTATACATTTTTTATTATATTGTTGCATTTGCTGCTTAAAGTGCCTTAGATTTTGTGTTACTTATCTACTTTATATTTCACTTGTATTTTGTGGGATTCATGTGGACAGCAAAATAAGAATTTCATTGTACAGGGAAACACGTTTCCTAACTGTGTATATGACAAACACTTTGACTTGGCATACAAGCTAAAATAGCAACTTTCATAATCCCTGTTAGCTCTTTCACCACTTTATTAATATCTCTTTCCTCCTTTCCTTCCTACTTTCAAGAGCTTTACAGAAGTCAAAGAATTACCTAAAAACAAATTAGTGTTGTGGTAATAGCAGATACACTTCTGAATACAGCTCAGCTGAGCTTCAAAAAGCAGATATCACAATCTTATACTTTTTCTAAGGTACCTTAAACAAGCTGTGTTAGCTAAAATCATGTGCTGATGCAATCATCTCCATTACAACTTTTCACACTCTGTACAGTCCATAGAAATCGCATTCACCAAACTCTGCATGTGTACTGACATGATGTTAAAGGGCATTTGTTTTTAATAACGTCTAACTCTATAATTTCCCATAACCTCTGTGTTCTGTTCAATCACATATTGATGCAAATTTGGTCAAGGTTGTACAGAGCTGGTCAGCCAGATCATGTCTAATGGACTGTCCAGAGAACGCGCAAAGCCCAAATCCCTTGTTGGCATTGGAATCAATGTCATATTGATTACTGGCTAATTATATAATCATACTAGTATTAATATCAGACAGAATGGATTTCTAGATACTCATTTGTTACATAAAAGTAGCACAGTTCGCCTTGTGGAGAAGCTCTCATTCTAACGTAAACACAGAGGCTCCTCATTACTGAGCCCAGTTTCGTCCCATGTGTCCATGTCTTCCTGGCTAAGGTACAGGTAACATAAAGACCAAATGAAGGTAGCAATCAACTTCATTAATCTAAAGCATGTATACTTGAACCTAAAGATGCACATGCTGTATACACACCCTCGGTCACATTCATACATGGACACATGATCACACATATTCAGACATACATGCTCACCCTTAGACATGTCTCATTAGATTCAGGTGAGCAGATTAATTAAATTTATATTTAAATCCCCTAGGACTGTAATTTACACTACTGCTGTATATGTCATGTGCATGCACACGCACACACACGTATGGCGGCAAAAACTGCACTGGAACATGTGTAATTTGCAGGTGCAGAAACAGAAACTTTCATGTGACCTGTAAGCATAAGTGAGGCCGTCTTTGGAGCTACTGAGTTCTGAGCACATCTCCACAGCTTTGCCTTCTATGTCGGTGAGAAAATCTCGAAGGATTACAAACATACACTCGACCTTGCCTGTGCTTGATATGTAACACTTTGATTTGTTCCATTGATACGGAAATAAAAATTCTTCATTTATTGTAAAGAGCTTTTCAGTGCAAAGCCTTTTATACTTAGTTGATCTGACCTTGCGTGTCCCTCCTCAAACCCCCATCCACTCAGCCAGCTCATCCACAGCTCTGACCTTAACTGCAGCTGTAATTGGTGGGCCAGGGGTACGCTTTGTTAGCCTTCTGTAAATTCTGTAATAACGTCACTGATTGCCTGTCGTTTTTTGAACAGCTCTGCTATGTTACACTGCAGATAAATCAAAAAGGGAAGGTGGCCTGGTGCTAAAAAGAGAAAAGGCTCATAATATCACTGAGTCAATGAAATGTTACCAAGTAAATGTGGAATACATAGATGTTATCAAGCAAAGAGTGAAAAAAATGCATGTCATAATGATTAACATCATCAAGGAGCCTCTGAGTTTGCATACTGAAATCCATTTAAATCTACATCATAGGTGAATCAGCCAGTGGAACACAGCTGACATCAGTTCATTGGTAATTGCATCCTAGTTCTCATGGGATGTTTATATGTACGACATAAAAAGAATGTCACCACATATTAAACACAGAGAACACAAAGTACAGTAAGTGTTATGTAAGGAGGGAGTTGCATACATGCTCACCTACTTTCCCACCAATACAATCAAGATGAGAAGGAAACTGAAACTTGAGAGCAATTTTGGTATAAATGTCTATGATCAAAAGGGAAATGACAACAGACAGTGTCAGGCATGCATAAAATGTTTTTATTTCTTCATTAAGTCTGTCTTTGCTGTTGTTTCTGTTACTGCAT